AAAAGTGCACAGTACAGCAAATCTTTCTGCATAAAGTGGATGAAAATAGTTTCTCTTGGCTTTCTTGATATTTTGGTGTATATTCAGCCAGTTGGGGAAACTAAAGCAGTAATACATACCTTAAAATAGTTGGTAAATTTTTGGTCTTTCCAGTAAATCAGTTGCCTCATACATTTCAGTAAAGTTAAAACACATGTATTGAGATGGAAAAAACTTTTGGAACAGTTTTGCCTGACTCCTTTGATAAATTCTCAGTTTACAATATTAGTCATTGTATAGATGATGACTTCTTTATAGAAGTGACATGTTGTGACATGCATTTTCCTATTTAAAGACAGAGGTAATGATAACTGGTTGATCAGGTATGAAAAACAAGATGATGGACTTGATCTGTCAGATAAGGTAAGAAAATGGAACCCCGAAACTTGTATTCTTTAAATTGTTTGGGTTTATAACTTGCTCTTGCAGGGAATTAAGTGCATGGCTTTAGTCCTGGTGTATGATCTCAAGAAATATGATGACCACAAGTGATTCTAGGCAAAATGAATGGAAAAGCTATATGGATTAGACTAGTCTTTGTAGAACAGTGCCAGGAGTCATTTTTATTGTTCTGTGTTTTTTCTTTGCTATCTTGGGCTACGATAATAATAAAACTGCCCACTGTTGCTCAAGTACATTTCTTCAGCTATTTGTGTGCTCTGCTTATCTTGTATTTGAGGGAAGAGCTCCTCTTTAATGGTGGTAGAGTAGGAATTATAAGTGCTGGAGTTTATGTGGATATTCCTTTATATTATTTAAATTGACTTTAAGTAGTGAAGCTAAAAAGCGTATTATATAGTATTTTTAATGTATTTCACTATTCTTATAAGCACATAGGTATCACTTATTTTTGAAATATTCCTTCCATAGGATAGCCAATGGACTATAACTAAAGAATCTACTGTTAAAATTGCTGCAATTGACAATGGTTTAGCATTTCCTTTTAAGCATCCCGATGAGTGGAGGGCATGTAAGTATTGCATTCTTCCATCATCTTCCTTTTTGGAGTGTAACTTCCTAATAATTATTTTTTATTTGGGTTGTTGCAGTAAGAAGCTAAAAAATCATCACTGTAGTTACATTATGAAATTTTAGATAATGTACTCTTCTTCAGAAAGTTAGCCACAAATGCCATTTTTGCAATGGCATATGTGGTTTAGTCCTTGTTTGTTTTTCTACCCTTATACCTTTAAACAATATTAATACGTGGATATTCATAAACATACTACTGTATGTGAACTGGACTGATGGTGGATTTGAAAAAAATTGGCAACATATTTCTCACGTGGTGGAAAATGGCTTGAGTGCAAGGATATTCAAGTTGTCTCTGTAATGGCCAAATTTCTATTTCAAAACAAAGGGTACTGTTTTAGGTGAACAAGTAGACAAATTACATGTCATTTTTACTTGTTCTCAGCTTTAGCTTACTTTGTAGAAGTTAATCTTTAGTTAGTATTTTCGAGCAGACTGGAAGTTGATATTGCTGTTAGAGCTAGATTGCTTCTGACCACATCTCTGACTACTTACAGTTTGGAGGGAAGTGCCCAACAGGGTTTACAATTATTTCTGTGGACTATTAGCCAATCAGGTAATTATGGCAGTTAATGTGAGCTACTTTTGCTGTCAAAGGCTGGTTGATTACCCCACCCAGAGCTCTGTATAGTCTCTGCACATCTTGATAGTTACTGTCCTACATATCTCTTGGCTACAGTCACTTCTGCAGCTGTTCTAGAGACATGGCAATTATTGCTTATTTCATACCATCTTTTGCTTCAGCATCAAAAGTAATAAACTTGGATGATCCTTTAGAATTCTTTTGCAGTTGGACAA